CCCCCAGGGGGGATGGTCACGCTGCAATCCCTTCTCCTCCATTCTCCTCCATTCTCCTCTGGGGATCTTGGGCACGCACGCACACGCACCCGGCGTGAGTTTTAAGCCACCGGGTCCGGGACACGAACCGCGGTCGACTACGTGGGAGTCCAGCGACATAGCCATTACGCTAACTGCTGGTTCCCGTCCATGAACTTTTTGAAGAGCCCTCATATAGGGTGGGTAGGTGAGGCCCTTTCTCTATTAATGAGTCCTAGAAAACTGTCTTCAAGGAAGTGCTTTGCCTGAGCCCAGAGAAAAGTGGAAGACAGCCACATTCTGTGGCCTGGGCTAGCGAGTGTAATTAATGATGACATGAATCAAGGGAAGAAAGCCAGTGCTCTCAATATCTTGGCTTCGTGCTTTGTGTCTTCTTCCATTTCTCCTGGTCTCCTCTTTCTACAACATACTGTCTGACTCTGTCATGTACCATGCGTGCTTAAGACAGAGTCAGGCAAAGACACCCTCGGTAGAAGTTTGAGCGAGCGAATGAGTTTGGAGTTTGGGCTTTTCTAGACTAGAAAGCTCCTGGATATCTCAAGGTGATGTTGAGAGTATGGTTCAAGGGGGGCGGGGGGGAGAATGGAGCAGAGCTTTTTAGAATGCGCTAAGCAGGGACAGTACATAAGTGACTCTGTCCTCCTCTCTCAGAGCTAGAGTCTGTCCTTCTAGTGCTACCAATGACTTAAATTGCTGACCAGGTTGTGAAGTAAGAGAGTGAATTCAGGCCTTTGCCCACTGCACGTGAGTGGACAAGTGTAATTGGCCAGGCTGGGTGGGAGTAGCAGTGAAGCATGGTGGGAGGTTTTATAGCCTGTCACAGACTTAGCGTAGTGACTGGGGAAGAGGTTATTTTGTTCAGTTGGCAAGCCACTGCTATCATATCATACAATCTCTAGTGCTTGTCAAGTGTGGCCATAAATGACTCAAAAGATGAGCTCTCTGCGACTTCCTTTGGTAATCTTGTTCAATGTAGGAAACTCCCAGCCTGCTTATCTTGATATTCAGTGTGTTCTTTTCAGTCTAATAACTTTGAGGATTGTCAGATATAAAGCTACACTGTAGAGAGGGTTTGACCCAGGTATACAATATCCAATAAGGAGTATGTGAAAACAACCTGGTTTTCTCTATTCCAGCCACTGCTTATTAGTAGCTGGTGACCTTGGAAGAGCATACACACTTTCTTGGAAACTTTATTTCCTCTTCTGTACAATGCTTTTGTGGAATTAGTCAAATCACTTCACTCTGTGTTTGTCTAAAATAATACAACTATTACATAATATGTGTACTACAATTCGATGAAAGTGGTTGTGAGGACAAAATGAAATAATGTATGTAAATCACAGCTCAATAACTATCCTGACTAGCTAGGAGAATCTGGAGTGTTGTATGTGTTCCAAAACCGCATTCAAAATAAAACTGTCTGGGGGACAGCCTCCCTTTCTTACCTAGACAGAAAATTGGTAGGTAAGAAAGAGAGACTTAACTCCAGGTAATGCTCCTGTTTAGTTGGTGCCATAGTGTAGATGAACCATTTACTTTGTTTACACATTTTATTATGTGTACTCATTCATTCAAAACATATTTACTGAAACGTTAAAGCCATTAGGTGCTGGATAGCCAAGGAGGGACAGAAATGGATTTTGCAGTCGTATCATTAAGTGATGAGGTTATCTTGCCCACATTGTCCTATTTTAATCATCACCACTGACTTTTTGGATAGATACTAATATATTGGGTTGTTGGAAAAGTCATGGCATTTTTTCTTTTTTTTTTTTTTTTCAGAGAAATTTTTGCTATAGGGTGTGTGCGCTCACTGGAAAGTCAGAGAGACCGAAAACGAGAAATCACCCCTCTGGGATTGCCATGACACAGTCCCTTCTCCATTCTCCTCCTGGGATTTGGGACATGCAAACACACAAGCCCAATGTGAGTTTCAAGCTGCTGGGTCCGGGATTCAAACAGCGGTCGACTACATGGGAGTCCAGCAATGTAACCATTATGCCATCTGCTAGTCCCCATGACACATTTTTCTATGTAAAAACTCATCAGGACTTTTCCAACAACCCGCTAATATTGTCTTTCTTTTATAATTGTGGAAATAAGTTTAGAGATATTAAGTGGCTTGTCCAAGGAGCACAGCTAATAAATGACAACCTCTGGTCAGGAATAGGAGTTCTGGTTCAGAGCCCCAGGCTATTGATCCGATACTGAAAGGTCATCTGGCCCTGCCCAACCCTCCCCTCCCTCTTAACCCATGGAAAATTCATGGAGCCCTCTTCTGCTCAGGCATTCGTCCTACAATATCACCTGAAGAGCACTTTTGTTTTCACTGTTAGTGCAGCATCCCTGGGGGCATAACTCTGGAAACAAGAAGAGCAGGAACAAGAGGAAAAGCACCTTGGCCCAAAGAGATTTCACATTCTTGTCTTCAGTAATAGTAAGGGGCCCAGAGGGTGACTTTCCATCCACCATCCTGTTACTACCCTCCTCTCCTCACTTCTGGAGCTGCCCCACTTCTGTCTACTCTTTTGTAACTTCTTTTCTCCTTGGAGATAGAGGTCAGCCACACAGGCCTGCTTCATACCATGACTCTACGCCTTGACCTTGGGCAAGATACTAACTCCTTAAAGCTACCTTGGCTTATCTGAAAGTCAGGGCTACTATTAGGAGTGCCTACTCCAGAAAGCAGTTTCACCTTCATGAAAAGGTGCATGAAATGTGTCATAGGGTGGTCATAGCAGTTGACTCAGCTCCAAATGTGACCTGTGACCTTGAGCAAATCCCTTTTCCATGCTAGGACCTTGGTTCTACATTTCCACACATGGAGTAGCCAGCTTCAGCTGCAGTCTGTGGCGAGATTTCAGGTTTGACTATCACTTGAGACGGTTTTAGATCTTGCCGCTTACTCTACTTTGGTTTTTGTGTATGCTGGATCTTTAGCCATAGCCCTAAACCTTACACACAGAAAGAGAAAAAAATCATATTGAATTTCAGAAAGTACTTTGGATATAAAAAAATTCTTTTTTGCTTGTTTGTTTTGA